ACATGGCAATGAGAAACAATGAAATCTGGCCATGTGTAGCAACATGGATGGACCTTGAGGGTGTTATGCTGAGTGAAATAAGTCAGGCAGAGAAGGACAAATAACATATGTTTGCACGTATAGGAAGATTAGGAGGAACTTAACTGAGGAACAAGGGGGAGAAGAAGGGGGGAAATAGTGGGGGAAAGGGAGAAAGGCAAACCATGAGAGACTCTTGAATGCTGACAAAAACTGAGGACTGATGGATGTGGGGGGGAGGGGGGATGGGCATGGAGGAGGGAACTTTTGGGGAAGAGCACTGGGTGTTATGTGGAAACTAATTTGACAATAAACTATCTGTAAAAAAAAAATAAATAAAAATAAAAATACAAAAAAAAAAAAAAAAGAAGAAGAGGTGCTGCAGATTAAGGTCCATAAAAACCATTGAATAGCAAACGTTGATGAGCTACCACATGCTGGGAAGGTGATGCACTGCAGTTCCTCAAGGACAGAAGCCCTTGTACTCAGGCCCTTTACTGACCTCATCCTATGTATTTACTCATCTGGCTATTCATCTGCATCCTTTATAGTATCCTTTATAATAAACTGGTAAATGTAAGTAAATGTTTCTCTTGAGTTTGGGGGACACTCTAACAAATTAATCAAACCTGAGGGGGAGGCAAGAACCTCCAAACTGTGTAACTAGTCTGTAAGAAGCCCAAATGACAAACTGAATTTATTTTTGGTTAATTTTTTGTAACATTTATTTATTTTTGAGAGACAGAGGGACAGAGCATGAGTGGGGGAGGGACAGAGAGAGAGAGGAAAACACAGAATCTTAAGCAGGCTCCAGGCTCTGAGCTGTCAGCACAGAGCCTGACACGGGACTCGAACCCATGAACTGTGAGATCATGACCTGAGCCAAAGTCAGTGCTTAACCAACTGAGCAAACCAGGTGCCCCGATAACCGGACTTTGTAATTGGTGTCTGAAGTGGGGTTGGTCATGTGGGACTGAACCCCTAACCTGTGAAATCGGATGCTGTGTCCAGGTAAATAGTGTCAGGATTGAGTTAAGTTTGTGGGATACCTGGTCAGTGTCTGATGAGAACTGGAGAATTGTTTGGTGATAATGGAAAACACACACATACATCAGAATGGAAAATCTCACTCAGTCCTAGATAGGAATCAACTGTCTTTTGTTGTTGTTGTTGTTAATAAGAATGTACTTATGCATACTTCTGTCCTTTATTTGATTTATAATCTCAAGCTAGCAATACTTATTGAGCACCTATCAGCTTCTATCATTATGAAGAGCACTGAGATTTAAAAATGGAAAATAATCCTGAGTTTCTACATTCAAGGGGTTCATATTCTACCATTTCATTCAGCTTTATTTCATCCAGTGAAAAGAAGATCAGCTCTGTGGGTGAAGGATGTGCAATATCTCCCTGCTCCCATACAGAATGGTGTTGCAAGTAATCATCACCGATATGCTTAACTGGAAGGGATGTGAAGATGGCATGGTCTTCTGAGATTCTTGCAAACCTCATTTCCCATGTCTTCAGGAAATCATTTTTGTCACATCAGGAACAACTTTCCTTCACAGGCACCCTGAACATTGTCAGGACCTGAAGTATCCCACCCTTAATAGCTATTAGCCTCTCAAATGACTGCAGCCTCTCTTCTCTCCCAGTTTCCTGGGATGCCCTACAACCTCATCAGGAACTCTGTTTTCTAACCCCTTAACTTTCTCAACTACTGACATACAAGTTTTAATCCCATGTTCACCATTTCAACACAGAGTTGCCACTACCCTCAATTCTCTCACTCTTGGTCTTCCTGTCTTATCAGCAGACAAACCTCTACCCTGAGCAAATAATGTATCTCCTTTCTCAGAACTCATATGACCTAGCAGTTCTGAAGAAAACCACATAATAAACCACATTTTTTTCACTAAAAACTCACAAAGACTAATAATGAGACTTCACCACTACCCACAAACCCTGTTCATTTTCTCTATATACTACTCATGGCAATGGTGTTTCAAACCTTCTTCCTCCTCTCATACTCCCACCCACCTGACTTCCTTTTGATGCTATCATATCTCTTACTTGATATGGAAAATAAAAAACACTATAGGTGAAATTCTTCCATTTTCCTTCACAAATAAATGGTCAAATGTCCCCTGTCTGCACTGTTTTCTCATTTCTTTCTATGGTAGGAGAGGCTCGCCTTTTTCTTGGCAGAGCCTAATCCTTCAGTAAGGGTTATCTCGATCTCCTTCCACAGCATAGATTATTTTTTCTCTTTGGGATAGTCTACTTTTCCCTCTAAACAGCTTCACTGCATCTGCAATGCAATCATGCTTGAGCCCCATGCACCCCATACATCTATCATCTAGCTGCAATGACTCCCCCACATGTGGTCAGTCTGAAGTATTTAAAGCCAATCCCAAATACCAGATCAATGCATCTATAATACTTCAGTACATTTCTCTAGAAGATATGGATTTCTAAAAAAATATAACCAAAATACCTTATCACACATAAAGGACTTAACAAAAATTTCTTAATACCGTCAAACTTCTAGTCAGTGTTCAAATTTCCCAATTGCCTCATAGTTTTCCTCCTATAATCGGTTTCTTTGAACCAGATTCCAGCATTTGACTTCTAGCATGTGGAAGGCTGAATAATAGCCTCACAAGTTTTCCACATGCTAATCCCTGAAACTTATGAATTTACTGTATATGGAGAAAGGCACTTTGAAGATGTAAATAAATTAAGGCTCTTGGGATACAGAACATTATTATATATTATCCAGGTGGGCCCAAAGTCAATACAAGGATCCTTAGAAGAGAGAAGAGGAGTTTCTATCAGAAGAGAAATGACAACAAAAGCAGAGGTAGGAGTAATGTGGGGCCAAGACATAAGGAATGCTGACAGCCTCTAGAGCCTGGAAAGATAAGGAAATGGATTCTCCCCTGGAACCTCCAAATGGAGCAATGTCTCCTCATTCGTGTAATACCATGGACCTCCAGAACTATGGAGGAGGATAAATTTGTGTTGCTTTAAGCCAATACATTTGTGGTAATTTGTTACAGCAATAATAAGAAACTAATGCAATACCATTTCAGTCTATTCTGGTCTATGGCATTGCCCCGATTTTTTTTTTTTGTTTCCTTTTTGTATTTTCTTTATTGAAGAAACTGTTATTTGTACTGTAAAATTTTCTATACTCTGGATTTGGCTGACCACATCCCTGTGGTTGTGCTCAATTTATTCTTCTAATTTTTTTTTTTATTTATTATAAACCATCAGTTTGATCTTGACGTCTGGTCAGATATAAGTTTAAGTTTTTGGAAAGAAGAGCTCATAGATGGGGCCAGAAACTTCTTATTGCAACAACCCAGGAGGCATATCATGTCTATTGTTTCCTTTTTTGTGAGTAAAGACTAATCACTTGATTCAGGTTTAATCATCCCTTATGAAGTTTCCATCAGCCTTTCAAATAATGGTTTTAGTGACATTGCCATTAAGGAAGGCAAATTGTCATATTCTCATATCATTTCTTCTGCAATTATAGATTCCATCTATTTCATACAAAAAAATCTTTTTAGGGCACCTGGGTGGCTCAGTCAGTTAAGTGTTCAACTCTTGATTTGGCCTCAGGTCATGATCCCGGGATCATGGGACTGAGTCTGTGTTGGGCTCCACACTGAAAATGAAACCTGCTTAAGATTCTCTCTCTTTTCTCTCTTTTTCCCTCTGCTCCCTCTCCCCAACTTTCTCTCTCTCTCTCTAGAAAAATTTTAAAAATTTAAAAACTATTCAGGTACCCTGTGCTACAGTTTAAAAAGGAAAGGTAGAGTAAGTATTTGCTTTTCTTTATCAATTTTCAGAAAGAAAAAAGATTGATATTTTGTACCCATCAAATGTAACCAATAAGTTGAGGTTTCTTTTAAGATTTATGATAATCCTATGGACTTTAACATATTTGATGTATTTCCATCCATTGCAATTATTTTTTTGCTCTTGATTGTTTCTTCTGGCCAGTGGATGGCACTGGCTGTGAATGTTGACAAGTAAAGTTCATTCTCTCAAACATCCTCTAACAACACAGATCTTTTCTAGATTTCAGGACAACAGCCCAGTTTGTGATTTTCTTTTCCAGTAAAAGGTAATTGTCTGAGACTGAAAATTAATTATTGAAGTACAGTTGACATGCAATGTTATATGTTTCAGGTATATAACATATTAATGCAAAAATTATATATATTACTCAATGCTTACCACAATAAATGTGGTTACTGTACAGTGTTATTACAATATTACTGACTATATTTCTTATGCTCTACTTTTCATCTCCAAGACTTATTTATGTTATAAGCAGAAGTTTATATCACTTAATTCCCTTTATCTATTTGTCCTTCTCCCCAACGCTACTTGTGCAACCACCAATTTGTTTTCTGTATTTATGAGTCTGTTTCTGTTTATTTCTTTGTTCATTTATTTTTTTTTTAGATTCCACATTTAAGTGAAATGATATGGCATTTGTCTTTCTCTGTCTGACTTATTTCATTTACTTAGCATAATACCCTCTAGGTCCATCCATGAGATTGTAATTTATATATGGGGATTTATGCTAAAATCCCACTCCCTGGATGAGTCAAAGCTATAGGTCATGTTGGGACATAAATGTCAGAAGCCTGGGTTCAAGCCACTTAGGTGGGTCTTTATCCAGCTTGCACAGACTCACAAGATATGATTATGCTCTTCCAAACTCTTCAGTGATGTCACATTGTAGTTTAAAATCAAACATAGTAGGAGTAATTACACTATGGAAATTGGCAAATATGACAAATCAAAGCTTTTATCTCCTGGAGACCTGGATATTCAACATTTACCTCACATCACTGTAAACCCCCAGAAGCCATCAGGCATCAGCCTGGGTTCTTCATCTGGCTGTGATTTTTATTTATATTTTTTGGTTGCTAGGAATTTCATTTACTTGTTCCACTTACATTTAATGCTATATTTGATCCAAAATGTATTCGTGTTTGTGTCAGGAAAGGCCTTTCCAGTGTGCCATGTTGTGAGAAACATCTATAAGTAACCATAATAAGATTTTCAGTCAGTGAGAAAACTTCAGATAAAATAATTTCAAAAGAAATTATAAAAGTGAATTAATACAGGAAAATTCAGGTGAATATCTTAATATTTTGTAACCAACCAAAATTTCAAAATTGATATATCATCAAAGCTAGAAACCAAGAAGAAAAATATTGATAGGGTTTATCTGTGCAATATAAAACATGTCTTTTTTTTTCAATGAACAAGTAAGATAGGTGACTGATTTTAAAATATCTGTAATATTTATGGATATTTTTAGCTTCATGAAATTATTCTAAAGTTCACTATACAATAATTAGAAAAAGTATGGAAGAATATATGAAAAATATGAAAAAAAGAACCTGCATCAGAGGATATTAAAGTTTATTATAAGGCTGTAATTAGAATACTATTCCACACAGAAATAGAGTGGCATGTGTTAACCAATTCCATTGTATATAGGAATTTATAAGTAATAATTTTAAATTAGTGGAGAAAGAGGTTGCTCAATAGATAATACTGAACCATTTGGTTAATTATGGTGGGAACCATAATTCTTTTTTTGTTGTTTTATTGAAATAGTGATATACAGCACTGTGTAAGTTTAAAGTATATAGCATTCACACTTGACTTATATTATGAAATGATTACCACAATAAGTTTAGTTAACATCCATCATCTCTTAGAGGTACAAATATAAAGGAAAAATATTTTTTTCCTTGTGATGATTTACTCTTAGCAACTTTCCTGTGTATCATACAGTGTTAACTATAATCATCATGTTGTACATTACCTCCTTGTACTTATTTATAACTAAAAGTTTGTATCTTTTGACCATTTTTTTCCAATTCCCCCACACCCCACCACCTACCTCTAATAACCTTTTCTCTATGAGTTTTTTGGTTTTGGTTTTGATTTTAGATTCTACATGCAAGTGAGATCATGCACTATTTGTCTTTCTCCCTGTGTCTGACTTATCTCACCTACCATAATGCCCTCAAGATTGATCCATGTTGTCACAAATTCCTTCTTTTTTTATGTTTGAATAATAAAGAATCATAATTCTTACGCAAATAACTACACATACAAATGAATAGTATATATATTTTATGAGCAAATACAAACTGAGTACCTGTTTTCTTTTGTACAAAGTACAAAAGAATGTGTGCTAAAGAATACACACCAAATTTAAGGTGGTACCAAATTTAAGGTGGTAGTAACTCCTGTGAGCAAAGCCAGGGAGAGTGATGAGGTTAAAATGTATTTTTAATGTTTTTTTTTTCTTAAAGATGATCAGGGTGCCTGGGTGGCTCAGCTGGTTAAGTGCTGACTTTGGCTCAGGTCATGATCTTGCAGTTTGTTGGTAGAGCCCCATGTGGGGCTATGTGCTGACAGCTCAGAGCCTGGAGCCTGCTTCAGATTCTGTGTCTTCCCCTCTCTCAGATCCTTCCCCTGGTCATGTTCTCTCTCTCTCTCTCCCATTCAAAAATAAATACTAAGAAAACATTTTTAAAGATAATCTAAAGCAAATAGCAGAAGTCAATAATGTCTATTGACTACAATTAGCATGTAGATAAGTATTTTACTTTTTTCTTTTCTTTTTTTTTCTTAAATTTTTCTGAACTATTTTATAATTAAAATTTTAGAAATGGTTATAGAGAAGAAAATGTAGGTGCTCTCAGATGAAAAATACTTTTCTAAATCAAATAGAATAGGGGTGCCTGAGTGGCTCAGTCAGTTAAGCATCCATCTTCAGCTCAGTTCATGATCTCACAGTTCATGAGTTCAAGCCCCACATCAGGCTCTGTGCTGACAGTTCAGAGCCTGGAGACTGCTTTGGATTCTGTATCTCCCTTTTTCTCTGCCCCTCCCCCCCCCTAAAATAAATAAACATTTAAAAATTTTAAATGAAAATAAAAACTAGAATTCCCCAGGAAATGTCATCAGAGAGATTAAAAGGCAATTTAAAAGCTAGAGAAAAGTGTTTACAAATTTATAAAGAGGCATAAAAATCAGTAAAAGGAATAAATCTCACTTTAGGAAAATGGACCATGAACAAACAAATATAGATAAAGAAATTTAGACACTTGTTGTTCTCTCAGGCAGAGGATGTGTTCTTGAATAAGCAAAAACAATCTAAAAGGACATATTTCAGAAGCAAAAACCCCCAAAGGAATATCAATAAAGCAGGAAGTTGGAGAATTTGGTTTTAAGTAGAAGATTATCTATATTGCTCTAGGCTATCTTCTTATTTAGATGTGGAGTAGGAGTTACAGATTTGGTGGATGAGGAGGGTTGCAATGGGGGAGGAAGAAGAGTGTTGAGGGGTACAGAGGGGGTGATGAATTCTCTGTATTCTTTGCTTGTGGTTGGGGTGTCTAGCTCCTTAATTTTAAGAAATGGAGGGGCGCCTGAGTGGCTCAGTAGGTTAAGTGTCCAACTTCTGATTTGGGCTCAAGTCAAGATACCAGGGTTTGTGAAATCATGACCCTAGTCAGACTCTGTGCTGACAGTGCAGAACCTGCTTGGGATTCTCTGTCTCTCCCTCTCTCTCTGTCCCTCCCCAGCTTGCCCTTTCTCTCTCTGTGTCAAAAAATAAGTAAACATTAAAAAAATGAAAACAAGTCTACTCTTCAATAATGCCCCTTTCCATCTAGATATGCTTGTATAAGAGCAGCTAAATCACAACCGGAGCAATCCTCACAAGGCAAAACAGTAAAGGCCTGCCAAATGTCAGGGGCAGTTCTAGATGCTGAAGACCCAGCAGAGGACAAAATGGAGCAGGTCACTCTTCTCCAGTGGAAATAAATACATTCACAGAGAGTAGGAGGTCAGCTGGTGATCCCTGCTGCAGGCAGCAGAGGAGAAGAAGATGTTTGATGTGGATAGAGCATGTCATTTTCCTCTGCCTGAGAAGTTTTTCTGAGGGAGTACTTGGAGTAGTGAGTCAAGGAGGATGCTTTTTTTTTTTTTTGAGAGGAGAGAGAGAGGGAGAGAGAGAGAGAGAGAGAGAGAAAGCGTAAGTGGAGAAAGGGCAGAAAGAGAAAATCCCATGCAGGCTCCATACCATCAGTACAGAGCCCTATGTGGGACTCAAACTCACAGGTCAGTCACTTAACTGACTAAGCCACGCAGTTACCCCAGTTATTTGTGATTTTAATTTCTTCTTCCTATTTTTACATTTCTTGAAATTTCTAAAATACATTTATTTAACTTTTTAAAATTAAGCAAATATCAAGAATTGGTTAGCTTCCTTTTGTGACAATATGGTGAACTAAACACCCTGAAAACTCTTTCTCCTGAAAACAACTAAAAATGGTAGAAAAGGTTTAAAATATTTTTGAAATGAGGGGGCATGATAATAAAGAAGGCTCAGAGGCCTAGAAAGAAGTGAAAGCAGGGACCAAGTGATAGGTGGCTGCTTTTGTAGACCATTGTCCCTAAGGGGCATATACTACATCTTTTGGCAGACTTGGTAGGTGGGGATAGGGTGAGGGGATGGGTTTAGGACCAGAGGGATGCAAGGACTCCAAGGGTCTAGGGACACTAGGAACATGGAAGATGAACAAGAGCAGAGAGGAAATGGGGTTGCCTCCAACTTCGAGGAACATAGCAACCACAGACTGGCCCCATGTAGTTGGTGCATCCAATTCATACTTACCATTCACACCCAATTCCTAATCTCAAATTAAGAATTTATCCTAAAGAAGTCCCAGATTAATAGTGAATCTTGGCCTGATCAATATGAGTTAATCTCAGAACTATAATGATGAGTAAAATAAGCAAATCACATAAGAATAAGTATCAGATGAAGGTGGTCAAAGGTAGAAACTTCCAGTTACAAGATAAATAAGTACTGGTGATGTAATGTAAAACACATGACTATAGTTAACACTGCTCTATGGTATATATGCAAATTGCTAAGAGAGTAGACCCTAAAATTTCTTATCACCAGGAAAAACACATTTTTTCATGTGTGTGTGTGTGTGTGTGTGTGTGTCCATATGAGGTAATAGGGGTTAAATAAAGTTATTGTGGTAATCATTTCATGATCTATGTATGCTGTATACTTTATACAGTGCTATATGTCAATCATATCACAATAAAACAGAAAGGAAAAAAACAATACATAAAATGTGCTTCAAAGTCAATGATTTCCAAAAATATAAAATGTTGAACCATGTATTGTTTAGGAATGTGTATGATACAATTTAAAGAAAAGTTCTATAGCTTCAAAATTCAGAACTCAAATTCTACATAGGGGTACACTTAATCATATCTCTATCAGAAAGGAACAGGTCAAATGGCTCTGAATTCACAATTACCAAGGTTACATTCATTCATGAAAGCAGTGCTTTCTTTTCAAATACATGTATAATTTTCAAAGTCAATTAACCATGTTCTGAGCCACAAAGGCAATTGCTATAAATTTTTAAATGTTGTACATTTAAACCACATTTCCTTTCAAAAAGCAATAAGAAAACAATTTTAAAATTGAAACATTTATACAACTTAAATCAAAACTCATATAAAAGTAGAAACTGTAAATTATTTGTAACTGAATAACAAATTAGAGCACCATATTTCTAATTCTAAGCAGGGAGGAAAAAAGGACATTTAAAAAATCATATCCTTAGATGCATTGAATAGATTCAAATACAGGTTAAAATAAATTGAATTAAGCTTTCCACTCAAGAATCTAGGTAAATAAATAAGACAATTAACCTAAGAAATTAGAAGGAAAAAAAATTATTAAAGAGATAAACAATTTAATTCAACAAAATAGACCAACACACAAAACGTTCAGATGATCAGCATCACCAAAAAATATTCTATGAAATCACCAATAAAACAAACTTTTGGTAAACAAAATCAACAATAAAATAGGGAAGACACAAGTAATATAGGGAATAAACAGCACAAAGGAGCACCAATACAGAAAGGATTAATATGTTATAAATGACTTACGTGTAACTTTGGTTCAATAAAAATAAAGATTGGTTTGAGAACCATGGGATATATTGCCAACTTCCATGCATCCTATTTTATTTCTGCAAGAGATATACAGTAGATAACCATGAAATGTGAACCTCCAATCTGTTTCTTGATAACCCACACTGAAAAGTAAATGTTTTAAAGGAAGAATAGTATTGAAAATTTGGGTACTTAGGAAGGGGGGCAAAGAAAAAGTATATAAGCTAAGGCATTTCCCTATAGGCAATGCCTAGAAGGAAAAAAAAATAGCATGGGTCAAATTACTTCTCACCATTTACATGCAATTTAAATAATCAGAAGATGCATTTATGCCAATAAGAATATGAAGGGTAATTTTGAAAACTTGCCCATCTCTTCCCACCACACAGCTAAGTATCACTAAACATAGCAAAGAGGGGAGTGCACCAGGCACTTACACCAGAAGTTATCCCTAGCAATCAGCACTCTGATTTACTACCCTACAACATGCCTCCTCCAGGAGGCAAAATAGCACTCCCAGTATGATTCTAGCTACAGTTCTTCAATGCAAGGGAAAAATAAAAGCCCACACAATAATTATTTTCATCACACTGAGTGAAGAGGAAGATAACTGCACCTGGTTCCCAGAAGCCAAACATTTCTAAATCTTGGCAAGGCAACGTGTATTCTGCACCAACTCTCTGGGGCATTACAACTTAGAAGGTCATCAGAAACTCTGTGGTTGGTTGTGGTACAGTGGACATTCACATTTATAGCCTCAGGAGTGTCTGCTTTCCTGACACACACCACACTGTGCACCTTCACATCCCGCCAAGCTTCTTGGCCTCCTTCTTTAGCTCCTAATGGGACTCTGAGCCTAGTTTCTCTGAAGAAGGAAAATGTGGGACTGAAAGTAGCTCCAAGGATGGACTTACTAAGAGTTTGCTCCAGCAATGGTCTTCTCCTGGGTACAAGCTGTGTTTGAGCTTTCTGAGTTTTCAATACAAACTAAACTCCAGAAGAAAGATTTACAAGCAGTCCTCCTGGCTCCTTTTCAAGTATTGAACAAACTCTGTGATCTCCCTCTGGTTTATAGGACAGCATTCCCCTCTCAGACTGGGCATCCTCCAGGAGGCAGGCCAGGAATGCTCTCCCAGAGGAGCAGCGTTTGGCCCTCTAGCTTGCTCTGCCTACTCCAGAGGGAGCAAATCCCTCCATGATAAAGTATGCTAGTGCTCCTGTAGTGTTGAATAGTAATAAGTGTATACCCCTGAAGACCTGAGTTGGAGAGAAGGAAAGACTATATTTTCTATTAAAAAACAACTCTAGATGAACACAGGGTGTATTTCAGAGTTCTTCTGCCAGGGATAGATTTGTATTGAAAATTATCACTGGGGGATTTTCACCTGCTGTGTTTTCCCTCCAAGAGCAGGCCGTCTGATAAATTCTGGGGTCCCAAACTTTCTCGTCCTGTCCCACATCTGTCTACCCACCACCTGGTTATTTTGCCATGACAGCGTTCATGTATTCCCAATCCCAGAACAGATGGCAAATCCTCACTGCGCCAGTTGATGGGGTCCAGGACATGCTACCAAAATACTGCACTTTGGCCTATTGAATTCTTAAGCTGAAGGAATTTGAGAAAATGGCAGAAGCAAGAAGACCTCCCGGCCATGACCTGAAACAGGTTATAAATCTCCCAAGTGAAAGGTGCCCTCCCTGTACCAAGAAAGAAGACATTCTTAACACCAGAGATAGTGAATTGAGGGCCAAGAGAGCTGTACAAACAAACCTTGTGAAACTAACTGTTACATTCCTACTTACTTTTTTCACCATTTACTCCCTTTATCGGAATCCCCTTTATTTCGTTGATTATTGCAAATACAGTAAAACCTTGGATTGCAAGTAACTTGTTCTACGAGTGTTTCACAAGACGTGTAAACATTTCTAATAAATTTTAACTTGATAAACAAGCAAAGTCTTGCAATGTGAATAATACGTGACATGGAACATCACATGATTACAACTAAGACGATGGTTTTTGAAATTTGCTTTAATATTCAAGTGCTTGGATTACAAGCACGTTTCCAAAACGAATTATGCTTGCAAACCAGGGTTTTACTGTATAGTGTTTCTTTCTTTCTTTTTTTTTTAATATTTTATTTATTTCTGAGAGACAGAGAGAGACAGCGTGAGCAGGGGAGGGTCAGAGAAAGAAGGAGACACAGAATCTGAAGCAGGATCCAGGCTCTCAGCTAGCTATCAGCACATAGCCCTAGGCAGAGCTTGAACCCACGAGCCGTGAGATCATGACTTGAGCCAAAGTCGGTCACCCAACGACTGAGCCACCCAGGCACCCCTGTGTAGTGTTTATTTATATAAAAGATACAAAACCTTTCAGCTCTGGACACTTCAGGTATTCATTCCTTTGTGAAGGCTCTCACATACATGTAACAATTCAGTAACATGTATAGGCTTTTCTCCTGTTAATCTGTCTTTGTTGGTATATTTTTCAGATCCCCGAACGACCCTTAAGAGGGTCTGGGAAAACTTTTTCCTCTCCTCCACTATAATAGCTGGAGCACCCAGATCTCTTATCTCTTGCCATCTCTAAGTGTTCACAAAGTCAGGGCAATGGTCACACGTGGCCTTTTAGCCTAGCAGTGTAATCATATTTACTTTTAGTATGCAAGACTAGAAAGTCACCTCTGTGTTTCTACTTCTCAAGTAACTTGTTGCTGATGAAAACAGTAGCAATCTTATTGTCATTTTAAAATTTAGTGGAGGAGTTTATTCTAAATTATAAGAATGTATCTCTTTAAATCTTAGGACTCAAATACATTTACTTAAAAATACAATCTTTCATAAAATGTCTCTCCCAAAAATTACAGTATAAAGTATGTGTTGTACCCAGTAAATCATTATAGAGACCTACAGAGAACACGGGCATGAGCTCTCTATCCTTCTTTTCATTTTAACCTCCAGTCCCTAGATCAGATAGCTGATTTTAACCTGACGGGTACCACTCTAAAATGTTATTCATTATACCTTATTAAAAATATAAATACACTTATACATGTAATCAAATGCCATCATACATTCACATGTATAAATGGGACATGTGTTGTTGATAGTTTTTAATTATCTAATTTACTTATTTTGAAAGAGTGATAAATATATACAGTGCAAATTTCACAAGATTCAGAAGACTACACACAGTGTATTGAGTTGAACAATGTTCCTTAAAAAGTTATTCCATCCAGAACCTCCAAATGTGACCTTAATAGGATTGTTGCAGATCTTTTTAGGATTCCAAGACAAAATCATCCTGAGTTAGGATTAGAGTCAGACCCAAATCTATTGACTGGTGTCTTTAGAAGAAGAAAAGACATTTGAGTCAAAGAGAGAAGAAGGCCAGGTTAAGACAGAGGTAGAGACTGGATTATATTGCCATAGCCAAGGAACATGAGGTCACCAGAAGCTGAAAGACACAAGGAGATCATCCCCTAGAGCCTTCAAAGAACACCTAGCCCTGCCAACACTTTGATTTCAAGCTTGTTGATTTCAGGTTCTAACCTCCAGAACTATGAAAGAATAAATTTCTGTTGTTTTAACCCAAAAAGTCTTTGATAATTTATTATGATGCCATGGGAAACTGACACGAAAGAAAAATATATAACCCACTCATCTTTTTCTGCTATTCCCAGTTTCCTTTTCTATATACTTACTGCCACTAGTTCCTAATATTTATTTCCAGAAAGAGTTGACACTTAACAAGCACATTCATCTCTATGTGTTCTTTCAGTGAATGGCAGATTGCACTCTGTTCTGCACCTCACTTTATTCTCTTAATAATAATCCTGAAGTTCAGTTTATATTGGTTCATATACCAGTGTCTCATTCTTTTTAGCAGATGCACCCTTTTCATTTAATTATTTTCCCCAACTTTTTGCAGCAAACAATGCCAAAATGAATATTCCCATACATTTTTCTGTTGCACATGTGTGAGTCTCCCTACAGGCTATATTTCTAGCAGTGCAATTGTTGGACAAGGGATATATGCTTCTTAAATTTTATCAAGTTAAAAAAGAAAACCCAAGTGAGCAAATTTGAAGGCCTAATTGACTTCGTGAACTGTTATGAAACAATTCATGAATTGAGCAACATCTCATCTAGAAGTAGAAGGGAGGTCTGAGGAGTTGTACTAAATGTAAGGTTTTATAGGAAGGAAGATGGGGCAAGAAAGATATAGGAAGAAAGAAAGAAAGAAAGAAAGAAAGAAAGAAAGAAAGAAAGGAAGGAAGGAAGGAAGGAAGGAAGGAAGGAAGGAAGGAAGGAAGGAAGGAAGGAAGGAAGGAAGGAAGGAAGGACTTGTTCCAAGCAAGATCACCTTCCCTTAGGGGGGGAGGACAGGGTTTTGTTTTTGTTTTTGTTTTTGTTTTTGTTTTTGTTTTTGCAGATTACTTCATCTTCTTTTAGGGGATAGAGAGGGTCCATGTGTTAAATTAATACATCGGTGCTGACCAGAAAATTCCTGACTGACAGGTTAAGACTACATTTCATGAGCAGAGGTGGGTTGAAAGTGCAATTAGATTAGGTATTAAGTTTTAGTTTACTGACTTGGGGCCTTAATGCAAGTGACACCCTATTTTGGGTCTGTAGTTTTCTTTTTAAGAGTAGTTATGGCCAAATTGTGCTATCCCCTGCATCATATGCAAGTGTTTATGTCTCTACTTTTGAGAACAAAGCATGGTATCAACCACCTTAATCTTTGGCAGTCTAAGGGAATGTGGCATTATGATTTCAATCAGTATCTATTCACATATATGGGAGTAATTTGTATTTCCTTTCCTACAAAAAAGAAAAATAAATTAAAGTTTTCTGTTGCTTTGTTGAGGATTTGGTGATTAAAGCTTCTCATTATATGTTAAGAAAATTTATATTCTTCTATGATATAAATTGAATAAAAACTTCACAGATTATTTGCCTTCTGATTTTTTTATGGTGATGAGTGGTTTATTGATTTTTTAAAGTTACTTTTGTTTTATGTTGCTACTTTTTTATTGTGGTAAAATATACACAACTTCAAACT